TAACTCTAATTTTGCTACTCTTATGAATCGGGTGACCTTGTGAAAGGGTCATTCAACCCTGAAAAGGGTCGCGACCCAAAGGTTGAGAACTGCTGCTCTAAAATCATTAAAGTTGTTACTCGTTCTTCCCAAACTATACCTTTAAAATATGTAAACTGCTTGTTTGGTTGCAGTAAACAGATACAACATGAACAACAGATTTTTTTTAAAAAACAGCAAAATTGAGGGAAATATTAAACAGAGTAAGCAGAAATTGACCTTTATGTACATTTACATTAAAAAATTTTTTTAGCATTTTAAGTTCACTAATACCTTCAGAGTTTTTAAGTAGAAGGAAATTCTATAGAAATTTCTCAATGGGGAAAATATGAAGAGTTGATACCAAGGGCTCAAGCAGAAAATGTTTTCAGAATGATGGAAACAAATGTGCTTGACACAATGGATGCATGTATGGATTGTGATAAGAACTATATGAACCCAAATAAAGTGATTTAAAAAAAAAACCTGGAAAAAAATCTAATATTTGTTTTTAATTTCTTGTTTTCTGTAGGTATGCTCATAAAAGCAAAAAAAGACTACAGTATAAAAACAAAAAGTCACATTTTTTCCTTCAAGTCAAACATTCCTAAGACTTACATACATAGGAGAGGGCGCTTCAATAGGTTTATGGAAAAAATCCTCTTAATTTTCAATTATATTTTTCCATGAACTTTTTGAAGTCCCTTTGTATACATGCACTCTTCCTTTCCTGTAAAATTAATAATTTGAACTACAGGTGGTCACCGATTTACGACATATTCACGTTACAATGAACCACATTTAAGATGTTTACTTTTGTCAGTATATCCTATTCTTGGCAATATGAGAATACTTTAAATAGTTCTAGAAAACAGAAATTAAAATACTCGAATTCTAACAATTTGAAGCCTCTTATGTGTATATACTACATCCAGTGAAACAGCACATAATTTGCTGATATCATTCTCAAGTGTTTAATGTTATAATTTACTGTTAAATTCGTTGCTGTTTGTAAAGCTACGAAAACATGGGGGGTGGAGGGAGAAAAGAAGTCAGGCAGAGAGGTATTCAAATTCCATCAGAACTAATTTATGAGAATGTTCTCTCAATATACCAAGTTGGGGACTACCTGTAATTAAAGTAAAACACAGGATTTTTCCTGTTTCCTTTACCTAATTGCATTAAGATAATATTATTGAAACTATTCTCTAAACACTAATAAGCTACAACAGCTGTGGCCTATTCCAAATCAGTTTCAGTTTTCTGTGTCATGACCACAATACCACCTTTTCAGAATGGTTACTTCTGTTGACCTATCTTACAGTACTTATTCATAGTGATTGTTTTCTGGGCTAGTTGAGGGAGAATCTGAAAGAATGGGTTCTACTAAAGTATCTTGCGTGACTTTAAATAAATTGCTTATTTTAGAGGTTTATTTTCCTCATCAGGGAAATAGAAATGGTGGTAGCTACCTCAGTGTAGCATTTGCCGACTTCCTTCTATTAGAATAAGCCCTGGTGGTGCTCTGGATTAGGTACTGGGATGCTAACCATAGGTTTGGTGATTCAAACCCACTATCCAATCTGCTGGAGAAAGATAATGCTATCTACTCCCATAAAGATTTATAGTCTGAGAAATCCTATACAGGGTTCACAACTTGTCAGCATCGATTCAATGGCAGCGGACTCAGGTCTTCTATTCAGAGTACTTCCATACTTAAGGAAAAATGAGTTAGAACCCAACACGAATCTCTACCAACTTATCTGAATAAATTTTATTTCAAATTCACAAGAAGAAACATTTACGATCAACAAGGACTTAAAATAGTTTTAAAAATGTATGTAATATAAGGTAAATTGGAGGGGGAAAACAACTATTGCAGTCATGTGGGGGGAGGTCAGATGCGCAGGCATTCCCCCCCTGAAGGCAATCAGTTGCCAGACTGCTGTCTCATCCCACCACAGGGGCGGGCCTGCTCCCTGCTGCTGGAGACAATGGACTACT